GCTATCTTGTGGTTTCCCTTCATCCCAGACACTTTTCAGCAGTTGTCTTTCTCATTTAATGCAGCTCACAACTATGCAAATCAAACACAGATTGTAGGGCAGGGATATGCTCCTTGGGTGGGTTACTGGAAGGAAAACAAAAGCACAGTAGAACATCATTAAAATGAGAAAGAAGCAATGGGCATTCTCTGTCATGGTATTTTGTTGCTTCAACAAGCTGCAGGGAAAGAAACCTAATGTAAAAAAAAGAATATCAAACCTTTATTGTACCCAATTTTTATCTACTTTGAGGTCATTTTGCCTCGCCCTTGCCACACTGGAGTTTTAAACAGAGTATTTTCTATTTCCCTAGTCCCTTAGGATCAGGGAAGGGAGGATCCTTCATGTGGCTCATGCTGCAAGAAAACACAGATACGTGGGAAGTACATGGGAATTAAAGAAAACTGTCTTAACCCAGCCAGACTGCAGTGGGCTCCACAGTACACACCACAGCACAAGGATGGGTTGCCCATGACCAGCACTTTCCAGTCCTCCAGTTCCTCTCCTAAAACCCAGAGCAGAGAGGAAACTGCCAGAACAAACATAATGCAAGTCCTTCTCTGGTAGCCCAAGGAGCTTTTGTGGAAGATGCTGTTTCTCCATGATTTAAGCCTTCATGGTCTTACGAAGTGTCTCTGAATGTGAGCCACGACCATCCACCCAGCTGAGGTCACCAGGACAAGGAAGAGGCTGCAAACACTGCTGTCTGGGGATAGGTTCAGGGAGTGACCCAATCCACTGGCTGCCAGTGTATTCACGTGCCCTTTGTTGAAATACAAATAGCTCTGAAACTATTTCCTCCATTTCCGCAGAGGAAGAACGCCATTTAATTCAATTTTTGTTTTGTATAATAATGGGAAAGCCAATTATGAAATTACAATTGCTTTTCTTATCTGGTTCCTTTTTTAGCTGCTTCAAAGCCTTGCAGGTGTTATAATCGGGTCATGAGGTGCTTGTTACAGCAGTCAAAGTGCCACTGGAGAGGAAGACGATAAACAGACATTTGTAGATTGCCTGCTAACTTGTTAGTTACCTTGCTTTTTATTAGGAATGCTGACAACTTTCATGAAAGCTTCATTATTACCCATAGAAATCTCTGAGCGTCTCTCAGAAATTGAGAAGGAGATTATTCACTGAAATCAGCTGAAGTAGCAGCCAGGCTGCAGATCTGATGCTTGTGAGGGGAAGAAGCAATGCATGGAGAGATGCTCAATGAAGGGTATAATCTCCTCCTGCAAACTGAATAAGCTCAAATGGAGGCCAATAAAAATGAGCCTCCCCATCAACTTATTAACAAAACCAGGAGCTAAAACTCCTCTGAATAATAACTAACTGCAAGCACATTCAACACTTCCATAGACTTTCCCCTCATACTTCCATAGACTCTCCATAGAACAGACTTCGAGTTACCATGCTGCAATCCTTCCTATGCAGACAAGGCAGCAAGGTCTCAATTAAGAGACTGCACAGCCCTACAGAAAGCCATTCAGGGGGAGAAATGTGAGCTACCAGCTTCGCACTGAAATGTGAAATCCTGCATGGGGCACTGCAAGAGGGGAAACCACAGAAATCAACTCCCTGCATGCAGAAAAATACCACTTAGCATGTAGCAAAATCTATTATGGAAAGAGGCATTGGCACATCTGGATGCTCTCCAGACCTAGTGAGGAGGGTGATGATGCAGTGCCGAATGCTCATATCTATCTCCCAAAGAAAACTGAGGAATTGGATTTGATGATCCTTGTGGGTCCCTTCCAACTTAGGATCATAGAATCATAGAATGGCTTGCATTGGAAGGGACCTCGAAGATCATCCAGTTCCAATACCCCTGCCACTGCATGGTTGCCAGTGATGAGACACTAAATCAGAATGCTCACACCCTGTTCAACCTGACCTTGACACTTGGGATATTCTATGATTCTATGACCTCTAGGACTGCTTTCAAGGATGAGAAAAAAGAAAAAAAAAAAAAAAAAAGGTCCCAAGGCTGCTCCCTAAAAGCATCAGGAGCTTTCAGCAATGCAACTCCAGTGCCAGTGGCTGCACCAACCTGCGGACAACAACTGGGCATAACAAGGTTTAGTGAGCAATGTCAGAGCCACGGGGGGAAGAAGTGGACAGAGGCCAAGAGGCCCCCGGGGTGCTTCCCAGAGCCAGAAGGGAGCTGAAAGTTGTACTTCAGCCAGCACAGCACAACACAAAAAGTGCAAATTCTTTGATGCATCTGCAGGTCTTCCCTTGGGGCATCAACTTGAGGCACAACAACAGAGCTTTTAAGAATTTTAATCAGGTTTTTATTACTCCTTAATTGGTCCTTTCTTTAATAAAAACACCTTATTAAAGGAAACTTCTGCGACTGCAAGATTTGTTTTATAGGCAACTACTGCATTTCTTCAATGGGTGGGAGAGTGGGAAGAACAACCTAAAACCATAACTCCAGAGGGGAAAGGTAGAGTTCCTGTGTCATTATCTCCACCAAAATCAGCTCTTAAGCTTTAAACAGAAGGGAGAGGAGTTGCAGCGATTCGTTACACTCCCATCCCGCAGCTGTGGTGTGGTGGGAGCTCGGGGCTTTAGCACCAATCCTGTGGCAAATCAAAGCAAAGCAGGAGGTCTGTGAGCATCTCTGAGAGGCTAAGAAAGGTCAGGACAGAGCCCAGTTGATTACAAGCATGGAGGCCAAAATGGAACTGCCTGAAGAAAGGACAGCTGAGCTACTGTTGCTCTCCAAAGTGGCCAGAACAGGGACCTGAGTGAATTTATCAGGCTGTGGGGTTGTTGGAAAACCATGGATAGCAGTGCCTGGCCCTCAGCCCAGACTGAAGGGGCTTAAAGACACAGCTGGAATCAGCTTCCAGCAGCAGTAGCAGCCAGGATGAGGAATGTGTTATCCCCAGCAAATTGTCTGGGGTCTGGCCTCCTTTTACCATGTGCCCAGGGGCTTTCTGACAACTGAAAGGTTTTCCTGTGCTCTGTATCCCTTTACTTTGTCAGCGTGTTGAGGATTTCCCACGCGTCTATTTGCTCCCCAAGCGCTGGGCAGGGCAGGAGAGAGGAGGAGAAGGAGCCAGCAGCTTTTCATCCCATGGGACAGCCCTGATGGGGCTGTGAGGAGCACAGGGAAAAAGTCTTTTGGAGCACAGAATCCAACTTTAAGCCAATTTCATCACTCCTTTGTTCCAAACCAGCTAACAACAGGCTGCTTGTTGTTGACAGAGCCACATGTGAAGATATCCCAAGACTCAAATGCGGGACCTCAGTTCCTCAAACTAGACCTTCACCTTCTGGTTTGAGGACATCAGCACTTGATCCCATCACCACTGGATCTGAGAAGGCAAAGCAAGGAGCAAAACACCAACCATGGCTGTTGGGAAGAGATGCCAAGAGTAATGAAGAGAAGGGTGCTAAGTGCTAGTGCTAAGAAAGGGAAACAAATTCCCAATGCAGTAGTGGCCAAGAAGCCTACCTCCAACACAAGAGCACAGGTGCATGGGCTGAATGGGAGCACAATCCAAACTATTTTTAACTGGTGCAGAGGAAGCTTTTACTTTTCACTGCAAAAGGAAGCAGACAATATGGCCGTCAGTTGAGCTCAGTTTATTCCCTCACAGGGTGTGTGCAGGAGTATTTAAAGCCCCCAGCTCTGCCTGTAATTCCCTTTAATCTGCTCGCAGCTGTGTGGGGTCAAATAGTGCAGCAGCTGAGATGCACTTTTGATCCATATGCTCTAGGTTCTGCCCTGTGGTTTCCATTCCAGCTAACAGGTGAGATGTACCGTTGGCATCAATAAGCACCAATCCAGCAGGGTTCACTACTTTTGACTCCAAATGTATATTTGAATGCCAACAATCCCTCCTCTCTCCCTAAAATGGGACAATGGCACTCTCAGGGCATCCCAAGGACTGGGGTCATGCCCATGGTGCCACTGGCCAGGTGGGCAACACAGCAGTTTAAACTTAGCCCATGGGAAAAGTCTTAGTTAGCTGCTGCCAGAGTTTCTGCCATCACAAATATTGTGCATTGTACAAATCCACAGGACACAAGAGATGACACATGCTCCCTTCCATCCTGACCTAAAGAGATGCTTCAAATGTTCTCAGCTCCCCATGGAAACCACCAGACTCATAAAACAAAATTTGGCACTAAAAGAAAGAGGTTTCCAAGTTCCACTTCCACAAGTGTATATACCCAGAACACAACTGCAGGTTGCTCCTCTCTGCCAAAGAAGTGTTTATGAAAAGCTTGCATTTATTACAAACACTACAGCCCCATAAAGCTCAGAAGCCACTGGCAACAGACATCAGCGGACTTTCCATGCTAAAAATATACTTTCTTCAGGGAGAATTGCCTAGAAGGTGAATTACTTCTCGTATTCTCCCTTGGGAGGAGAAAGGCACCTTATTCAGCTTGCTCCAAAGCAGGTGCTGGCATTACTCAGACAAATGTGCCCTCAGAAGTCTCTATTCCCCCAGCAGCTACAAAGGCAGCTTAGCACAATTACCTCCAAAGTCAATGTTTATGCTGCTGTGTGAATTAGGCAAGAATAATCCCTCACAGTCTGCAGTGGTCCAGACAACAGCCGAACCAGGAGCCAAAAAACTCTACTCACATTTCCACTGAAATCAAAGTGTGGGTTCTGCAGACAGCAAAACCTGAAATGACGACAGGATCCTAGTTGATTCTGGTTTCCCATCTATTGCTCATGACCAAATTAATGTCAGGCTTTGCTCAGCCCCAAGGGAAGTTAAAGAGTCAGCACAGAGGTGAGCACTGAAAGCAGAACTTAACATCATCCCACCAGCAGGGTGTTGTCTGCCAGGGGTGGTGCCAATGGACCAGGAAAATCAGGGACCAGCCAATCTGCATACATATATACATATAGATATACACACATACAAATGACACTTGAATGTCTGTGCCCACCTAGAAAACAAGCACCAAAGAGCAAATAAATCCCTTACTCGATTGTCTTCTTGGATCTCCCAGTCACTGGAGAAGCTCAGGGCATGCTGTGCCTGCGAGCAGTTGGAAAACTGGAAAAGGCTGGCGAACATCCTCCTGTTCTCCTGGGTGTCCGGGAAAATTGCCTCCTGGAAGTTCACCCCATGCGGCAGGAGGATGTAATTCTCATCCATGCTGAAACACAAACCACGGGGCAGCTGCTTTGAGGCTCTATGGCAGAAGTCAACGTTGTCCCCCAGCCCAGCCAAGTGCCACCAAAGTTGCACGGACAGACTTTGAGCCAACGCATAGCTCTCAGCACTTTGCTGCCTCTATTCTCTGTGAGTTTGACCTGGTAGCTGCAGGGAGGACCTGACATGATCCTGCTGCTCTGCAGATATAAATGAGTTCCCAAATACATCAAATCTCTCTTTCGGCCTTCGGTTTCTACTGAATTTGTATTGCTTTGCTCTTGACCCCTGAGTCTAAGTGTTCCTTCAGAGTCAATAAATAACTTTTGGAAGGCACGTCCTTAAGATATTGTCCCAGACTGAGCACTGGACAGCATCAGAACTTGTTTTGCTATGCACCCAGTGTAAGGATATAGTGAGCATTTTGAAACAAGCCACAAAGTAACATTTTGCAAATGCTTCTGGATCGAAAGGTCAGGGTGATGGCTCTGTTCCCACATTGTGGTTTATTTTCTTATTCTTTCAATGAGCCCAAAGTCACGATTTGGCTGGGGCCAAGAGAACGCTGTCGGGTGTGCATTTGGGGATTGCTCCTATACTCTCATGCCAAACTTTGGAGAACAGGCACTGGCCCATCTCCAGCGCTGGAGAGGAGCTCTGACCATGAAGAAACAAAAGCAGCAGCACCCAGGGGCTGCTGCTTTGGCAGCTCAGCACTAAAGCAGCGCTGGGATATCCCAGCTCGGGATGTTTCTTTGGGGTGAATGTACAGAAGATGCAATACTACAGGGAGAGCAGCGGGACAACCCTCCCATCCCTGGAGGATGCCCGGAGCTGTGCCACAGCACCCAGACCTCCCCCCTCGGACCCCCAAGGCCGGGACTCACCGGAGGAAGAAGAAGTAAGCGTAGCCCTGCATGACGGTGTGCGAGTGACAGGAGAAGTAGCCGAGCCCGGTGAGGTTGAGTCGGGAGCCGGCGGGCACCTCCAGCATGCTGCCCCACGCTTGGTCGCACAGCAGCTCGATCTCAGCCGAATAAAAGAGTCCTCCCGGGTTGTGCTGCGAGCTGGCACCGGAGGGGGGGTCCCGTTGCCAGGGCAGATAATTGTAAGCCCCGTAGGGATCGGGGTGAAGAGCCAACACCCGCGCGTAAACGATGATGGAAGCCAGCTCGGCTCGGCAGCCCTCGCTCAGCGGTCGCCACTCGGCCGGCAGCTGGCAGCCCCCCCCGGCGCCCGCCCCGGCCCCCAGCCCCAGCGCCAGCCCCAGCAGCAGCAGCGGCCCCGCGGGCGGCGGCATCGCGGGAGGCTCCGAGCCGGGGGGGGCGAGCCCGGCTCCGCTCCGGGACCGGCACCGGGACTGGGGAGTGGGGATGGGAATGGGGGAGAAGAAAGGTGAGGGACAGCCCGGAGATGTTATAGGTGAGGGGGTTATAGAAGGAGAAGGGATGGGGTCGAAGCAAAAGGTGGGAAAGTCAAAGGTGCCCCCAGTAAATTAATATAATAATAGTGAGACTTAGAGGGTTTGGGGAGTGAAGGAGTGAAGATGCAAAGGGGTGAGGGTGCGAAGGGGTTGAGATGCGAGCAGCTGAGATGCAAAGGGGAGGGCTGGGAAAAGGGAGAGACATGCGAAGGGGCAGAGATGCGAAGGGGAGGGAGGGAAATGGGAGAGGTGCAAAGGGGGAGGTGAAAAGGGAGGGATGCAAAGGGGAGGGTTGAGAAGAGGAGGGATGCGGAGGGAAGAGGTGGACGGGACGGACGTGCAAAGAAGAGAGGTGTAAAAGGGCGGAGATGCAAAGGGCAAAGCACAGCCCCGGGGGGGGTAAAGCTGCCGCTGGGCATCCCCCAACCCCACGGGGAACATTGGCGGTACCCGGGGCTCGGGGAGGTGGAGAGAGGTCCAGTAGGGAGGGCAGGGACTGAGAGGGAGGTGCCAGATCCCACTTGCTATTTCCTTTCTTAGAAGCCTGCAACTCTTTTTCAAAATGCAGCTGGTGAGAAAGGTAAAAATAAAAAGCCGGGTTTCTGAGTGGTCACTTCCCACCTCTTCTCCGTAGAACTGCGGCACCCTGGGACTTCTCCAGCTTTCGGGCAGATGGCTCCGAGCCCGACCCTTCTCCTGGCACACACATTGCTGCGGAGCTCCCGACCATCCCCAGGGCCCCCTCACCATCTGCAGCCCGAAATAGCTCCTTCTAGTTCAGTTTTGTCCTTTTCCCACATTAGATCTCACTGGTAATAACGTGGCCAAGAAAGAGCTTGGGATGCTGAAAAAAAACTTCTGTTGGAATATGACTATCATGCAGATGTGGTCCTGGTTAAATCTCTCCCTAACGCTGATGACTACTGAAAGTTTGACTGTAAGTCCTGGCTGATTCCTTTAATCCTCTCCTCTGTCTGTCTGTCTCCATCTGCTTCTGCTCTCCAGAAGGACTGGAAGCTTTCAGGAGCAGAAGATGCCTTTTTGTTCCTCGTTGGTGCTGTACCCAGAGTGGGGGGTCCCCGTGCATGGACAGCATTAGAAGAAATGTGTGAAATAATGAATCACGAGTTAAACAACGAGCTAAGCCAAGTTCATGACAGTGAGACATTTTCAGTGACAAGTGTCTCCCTTGGGAATAACTTCACCAGATTCAGCTGTTTGCTGCCAGAGAAGTTTAAGAAAGGTGATATTCCTATTTCATGATGGCACGGTCCCATGGTGAATTTAAAATGTAGTTTTATGCAAGAGCAGCAAAGCTGCTAAAACAGAAGCAGAATTTTATTTTTTTTTTCAAACAAATCCTCCAGAATGATAAATGTAGCTTTTATAGCATTTTTCACAATCTGTTTCTTGGAAATCAACAAATCGTTTCATAACATTCGGAAAAATCTGAACATGCAATCTGAAAAGACTTCTTTGAAGAAAACATCCTCAGGAAATCCCAATAGATCAACAAGTTTAACTTTCTTTCTTTATTTTTTTATTTTTTTTTTTTTTAGTGTTAACCAACAGGAAAAACTGTTTCTGCTTTGGAAACTAAAAGGAATAAATTGTGGCAGAGGAGGCTTCATGGTTTCATTCATTACATTTTAGATAGGAAATAAGAACAAAGGAGCAAAATAAAGAACTGAGGCTATTGCTGACTTGCAATCATGGAATCATTAAGGTTGGAAAGGGCCAATAGGATCATGGGGTCCAATCATCAACCCATCCCCACCACCATGCCCACTAACCACACCCCCAGTGCCACATCCACCCTTTTCTTGAACACCTCCAGGGATGGTGACTCCACCACCTCCCTGAGCAGCCTGTGCCAATGCCTCACCACTCTTCTGAGAATAATTTTTTCCTAATATTCAACCTGAACCTCCCCTGGTGCAACTTAAGGCTGTTATCTCTTGTCCTATTGCTGTTACGTGGGAGAAGAGGCCAACCCCACCTCACTTCTTTCAGGTAGTCACAAGTCTAGGGCAGTCCTCAAGGCATTTTGTGCAGTACAGTGCACACAGAGGCCTTGGCACTGACCTCATAGCTGGGCTTCTTTTGAGAAAGGATGCTTTGAGACATGGGTGAAGACATGGGGATCACAGAAGGAGGAAAGTGCTGCAAGTGATGACAGAGATGTTCAGTCTCTCCATGTAGCACATTCGGCATTGGAGCTTGATGGCTTCATCAGCTTGAATCCCATGTTTGGTGCAGGCAGCAACACACAGGTGTGTCATCACTCCCAGCTTCTGCAGAACCCCAAGAAGCTGATGCAATATTTGTAGCCATAGGTTATTTTGTCCCAGAGACCAAATTCTTACGGACACATAAGACACAAGCGCTATTTCTTCTGTGTATACATAAAAGATTGATATCTTCTGGGAAGAAGAGAGCCAGATTTAAGCTCCATCTCTGTTTACTGTGTGTTGCAAGTGAGTAATGGCCAACTGTCCCCAGAGCACTTGGAAATATTTAATCTCAGCTGAGCACGTTCAGCCATTGCTCACGTTTTTGTTAGCCACCACGTAACAGCTGGGAAGAGGACAGGGAGAAAGAGAAAGGAACACAGGCAGCTCAGAGCCAGAATGTGGAAGTGTCTTTAATTAATGCCACTGTTAATTGTCTGAATTAAACTGCTCACATGTGACCAGAGTCCTGGAATTAGTGAGCTGTCTCACAAAACACAAAAGCAATTGCTAGCACACACTGGCTCTGTTTGATGCTCTCCAGTTCTCCTTTTGGCGGTGATTACCAGAGTGTGGAAGCAAGTAATTAGTGTTCTTTGGAATTTCTCTGTGATCCTGCAGAGGTGGTAGTGTCAGCACTGTGAGGACACAGGAGTCCATAGGGCTGATTCAGAGCTGAATGAGCTGAAATGAGCTTGGCCCCAGTTCTTGAACAGATACAGTACACATAAAATTAAAATACCTCTGACCTTAAAGTGCCTGGTTTCTTTGCTGTCTTCCATTTATGTTGCTGTTTCTGGTACAATTGTAAAGGTTTGGGGTGGCTCCTCTCATGCCCCCTGTGAGATGTCCCCTGCTGGGACCTCTTCCTGTCAGAAGCTCATCAGTGTGTAACTCTGCCTTCCATCCAAACAAGCTGCTCCCTTGGGCTGTTTTCCTTGAGTTCATAAACCACGTTCAGACCAGTATTTTAGTAAATAATTACAGCCATCTGCACTTGGATCAAAATGATTAATGACATTTTGCTCTCAAGTTTTTCTCTACCGAAGTCAATTTTCTCTACACCGTCAACTGTTTTCCTTCTCCCTTCATTTCTGAGGTAGTAAAAAGAAGCACAAGCACCTGAATCCTTTCCAGCAGCCCTCTCTCTTCCAGCTCTTGATAACATGGAATCAGTGACACAAAGTGAGGATTTAGGAACCCTCCCTGGAGGCCACATCCTTCAGATCTGTGTTTGCTTTCTCTGCGGGGATCCACCATCTGATCTGAGACGGACTTCAGTACAGCATGAATATTTCTTTGCTGTGAACTCAGCATGGGTCTGACAAGTGCTGTAGCCAAAAGGAGCTAATCAGAGGAGCGTCAACAGAGCCAATTAGCTCTCAGGCCATTCATGCATGTGCCACAGTTATTCACTCACTTCCTCCGCTGAGATAGGCTTGTAGGCTTTGAGACAGGCTTGTGGCTTTCCAGGCAGGAGCTCTTCCTTCTCTTTCTCACATCTTTACAGATATTCAGACCAAAGGTTTCTCTCTCCAGACTGTGCCATCTTCTTTCCTGTTTCTATGGTGATACGAGTGATTTAAGCCTTTTAATAAAATATAGCTTGTCTCTGTCTCTTTTTGCCATTAAAGTATTGACAGAGTGTTAGTCCAGGTATCAAACACGAGCACGGTACTTGGAGTCTGGTTGCCTTTCTGATGGAAGCAGGTGATCTGAAACCTCAGCTCAGCTGTCTTTTATTCGTATATTTGCAATAATTCCTTTGTAGCCCAGGGTACAAAATATCAAAACCAGATTTCTTCCCCCACATCTACCTCTCTTCAAACTGGGAAATGCACAGAGAGGAGTATTCAGCTACATTAGTGTCCCAACAGGAAGAGATGCTTTCATTACTTTCTTCTGTCTGTGCTTCTCTAAGTTGAGTCATTCTTCTCATACATTTTGAGGTTTGTTCCTTTTTTTTTTTAATTGTTTTTATGCAACTCTCTGGGCTGGGCGATTCCTATTAAAAAAAATAATAATAATCATATTTCCTGTGGTTCTTTTGGTCACTTTCTTTCTTTTAAATTGTGACTAGGAAGATACAGGCTTTGTCTTTGGGGATCAGCTAGGAATACATTCCATAGGAGTCGCTAGTGAAGACTGAAGCAAAAAGTTGTTGAATACCTCACCCTTCTCCTTCTCCACCGTTACCAACATGCCTGTGTTTCTCACAAGGGGGTTTCACCCTCCTGGACTTTCCTTTTCTGATTGATGTATCTATAGAAGCCTTACTTCTTCTTCTTTGCATCACTTGCCCAGTATACTTCCAGTTGGGCCACGGCCTTCCTGACTGCATCCCTACACAGCCTAGCAGCAAACCTGCACTACTTGTAGGTTGCCTTTCCCTGCTTCCAGTGCCTGAGTATTTTCTTCTTGTTCTCCAGTTTGACCAGTAGGTCCCAATTCAGACATGTCGATCTCTTGCCTTCCTTTCCTGGCTTCCTACACCAGGGGATGGATGGCTCTTGTGCTCTAAGGAAAGCTTCTTTAAAGAGCTTCCAGCTCTGCTCTTCTCCCTTGTCCTTGAGGACAGATTCCTAGAGGGATATGCTGACTAACTCCCTGAAGAGATGGGAATGCCTCCTCTCCCAGGCACTGGTACTCTCACTTCATCCTACCACCACTTCAGCTGACATCCTGGATGTCATTTTCAGCTTAGACTTCTCTCTCCATTCTCAGGGTCACATAGAACAGATGTCACCTTTCTGACCACTCAAACAATTAAACTGCTGTTCAGGCTCTTTCCTCTGATGTCTTTAGTCCTGCAGCATCTTTTCCTGTGCAGACCAAGTCTTGGCCCACCACTGCCCACCCAGCTTGTAGCTGTACCTACTGATTTCCCATTCACAACCCACCTCCATCATCCACCCACATCCAACCCTTGCTTTATGCCAGCTCCTATGGACAAGTTCTGAGGCAAGGACCTCCTCAGTTCTGTATTTCTCCAGCATCTGGAACATGAGTTGTGATCACAGGTCCAAGAATAAGAATAACAACAATATGAAGGCTGATTCCAGCCCAAGTCAGCAGAGGCCAGCAGTGCTGCACTCAGAAGGTTGTTCATAAATCAACATGAAATGCACTGTCTGAGCGTAGCTCCCAGCAGACACACATCTGCATAACACATACCACTGACACAAATGGTGATGGGAAAAATATCCTAGCATATCATTCCCACAGCAATGGAGGAATGAGTAAAGATGTCTAATTCTCCTGTCCCTGGGATGAACTCTGGTCCAGGTAAATTCAGTTCTTAAGAGTTAGAGATTTTAAAGGCATAAGAAAGGGACCATTAGAAAAGCCTGATCTGACCACACTGGCCAGAAAATGTCCCTTAGGGATTCTTGTATCACGACCACAACTGAATTTAGAAGAAGAAAGCTGAAAAAAAAAAAAAACCATCTAACTCTTGTTTTAAAAGTTCAGAAGGTGAAGAAGCAAGTTCACCACTAGGTGAGTTCTTCCAGTGCTAAAATCTTATGTTTCCTCCTATTCTGGATTTGTCAAGCTTCAGCTTCCAGCCATGAGATCACGTGCTGTTATCTTCTACATCAAAAAAGAAAAACAGCAAAAACATTGAGAAGAAACCACAACCACTTACAGGCTGCCCAGGGAAGTGGTGCAGTACATAATGTGTTCAAGAAATGTGTAGATGTGGCACTGAGGGACATGTTTTGGTGGGCATGGTTTGATGGTTGGACAAGATTATCTTAGTGCTTTTTTCCAACCGCAATGATTCTGTGATTATAAATCCTCACCCAGTCTCAGCATGTATAATCCAACCACCAAGTATTCTCTTGAATAAACTGAATATAACCAGCTTCTGTCACTTGGCGACAGGATAACCAAATTACCAGTAGCATGATTGCCCCAGACTTTCAATGTTCTTTTTTCTTGCATAGACCAGAGACAAATACTGTATTGTAGAGACTGATCTCCAAAGAGCCAGTGGGGGAGTAGCTCATCCACTCCTTCACCCAAGAACTGTGTTTATTCTGCTAGTAAGTCTTGCATAAGGATGGGGCAATTTGCATTGGTCACTTTACAGAAAAATTGTATTGGCAAAGTAAAGTTTGCATTTCAGTCGTATCTCAGTCAAGTGGAGGTAACTGACCAAATTTTTGGCCAGAGTCATTGTCCCTTTCACACC